GTGATGTTGGTTATATCAGTAGGTGATGTCCCCTGAGGTGGGTGTGGTCGGGGCATGAGAAGGGCCTGCTCCGTGTGCGTGATGTTGGTTATATCAGCAGGTGATGTCCCCTGAGGTGGGTGTGGTTGGGGTGCGAGGAGGGTCTGCTCCATGTTGGTGATGTTGGTTAAACCAGAAGGTAACATCCTCTGAGGTGGGTGTGGTCGGGGACACGAGGAGGGTCAGTTCTGTGTGGGTGATGTCGGTCACACCAGCAGGTAACGTCCCCTGAGGTGGATGTGGCCGGGATATGGGGAGTTAAGGTGGTGTCTGGGATTTCCCGTTGGAAAGGCATCACCACCTCCGGCCCTGTTATGTCATCTGAGGGGTGTGGTCTCTTTTCCATGGGTGATGGTGATGCTGGGGGTTTGGGGATGAATGTTTAAGAGCCTTGGACTGTTTTCCTAACCGCCTGCAGTGCCCTCTCCCTTGGTACAGGGTGCGCCTGCTCCTTTTCCGGTCCAGTGGGGTGGGCGTGGTGTCCCACCCCCTCCCCCACACTGTTTCCCAGAGCCTCCCGGAAGCCTTGCCCCTTCCAGCAGCCTGTCTGGCAGGGCCTGCCTGGAGCAGGTCTGAGGTCCACGGCCCTCTGAGGTGGGGTGGGTAGGTGGGGTGCTCTGGGCCGCCAGCAGCTCCACCATGAGGGCTGGAAGTCAGTGGGCAGGCTGAGTGGGAAGGTGGGGTCAGCCCGCCCTGCTGTCTCAGCTCCTTAGAAAATGGGGGACTTGAGCAGCAGGGCCTCCAGGCCCCTCCGGATAAGTTGCAACATTTCAGGCTTCCGGGAGCCAAAGCACTGGCCACAGCGAGGATTCCGGAAGGCCCTGCCTGCCCAGCCCCACCCAGGCCTGGCCCTGCTGTCCGGGAGCTCTGGGGCAGGGCCTCCCTGGGCTGGACTGCACTTCCACCTAGAGACACACGGGGACTCTGCACAGTGGCCTACAGCCTCTCCAGTCCCTGTACAGAGGCACCCCAGGAAGCCTGACCCCCCCTGAGATGCAGAGCAGGGCCGTCCCAGTTCAGCAGTGATGCAGAGGCCTGTGCAATCGGCTGGGCCGTAGACAGAGACCACCTTCCGCCCTCTCCCTCCCTCAGCTGGGCACACCAGCTCTCTACCTTCCTGAGGCCGTTTGGGCAGCAGGAGCTCCTCTCTGTTGATTAAATAAGAACAAATGCACCTCCACGCTTGGAACGATAATTCTTTAAAAGCCAGCTGGACTCCAAGGCCAACATGGGACAAGGGAACTTCGCAGGATCTAGAGCCCATCGGGTGTGCTTGTAGCGTGGAGCCCGTCTTCCCTCGGAGTTGAGGACGTCGGTTACGGGACGCCTGCTCTGCGGGATTCGAGTTGGGGCGTGGTGTCCAGAACTCACAGCAGGAGCGGACTTCCACAGCAAGGCCCCTAGCCACGCAGGACGACTTCAGACACTTGCTGGTAACGGAAGAGCTTCCGCCTCAGTGTGTTTCCCACTTTATGCAAACGAGGCCACAGCGGGGGGTGCCCCTGTACGCCCAGCACACACAGGGCAAGGTTTCTCTGCCCAAGTTCAAAGTGCCACTCGCCCTTGACATGCATTCTCTAGAACGTTCCTCCACCGCAGACGTAAGGCACGACACCAAGAATCCAAGGAACACACACCTGGGAAATGCCTGCTACCCACCCAGGCACCGGCCGGGCAGACGTGAGAAGAGCCAGCTCCTGGGGTAACCTCATCTGCCTCGGAGATTTCTCAGCTGAACCGGCGGCCACCCACAAGCAGGGAGGGCAGTCTCCTTCCAGCTCTGAACAGCTGCTCCTCTGGGGCGGAGCTCAGGTGAGCAGTGGCCGGGGACGATGGTCGTAGCCCGATGCCCACTAGGCAGGTCTGCGGAACGGGACGGGAATCCTCGCACTCCCAGGGTCCCGTCAAGTCAGTGTCACGGGACAGACGTGACAGTGCTGGATGGTATGACACGGGATCACCGTCTTCCTGAGCTCCCAGAAGAACCTCACGCATCACGGGGCAGACACGACAGTGCTGGATGGTATGACACTGTCTTCCTGAGCACCCAGGAGAACATTGCACAAACACTTCAATCAGCTGTCATTTGCTGCTGTAAATCTATCAAGTCACAAAATCCAGGGAGATTACCCAGCTTCCAAACTGCTCTTCAAGAACGTATCACACGTGAACAGGACTCCCTGCCTTCAGACGCTGCTCCTCATCACTCAGAGAGTGACACCTCACAGCGAGTGAACTGGAGTCAGCACCGCGAGGATGTACCTTCCCGTCCAGATGGGGGGCCTGCTCGGGCTGTCTGCTGCGGGGGGCAATGGCCCGTGCTGGGTGAGGTCTGGGGACCTGGCTACCCAGGTGTAGGCTGAGTATGGAGCACCACGTGGAACATACCACGCTGATACAAACACTTGGCCTGCGTTATGCTTTTTAACTGGACTTACGCATCTAACAGGGGAGCAGGGACGGACCCGGGTACCCCCTCCACAGGGATGAACGCTTTCAGCACGGGCTTGCAGGCCCTTCCCACTCTCCTGTCTCTGCAGCGTGTGCTAGAACGTGTGCCCACCGTCTCTCCTCCGGGAAGTCTTCTGGCCCCTCCAAGCCAGAACGGACCGTGCTGAGCAGTGGAGCCGCAGACGCGCGTGTACCGGCGGCCAAAGGGCACGCAGCTCGCAGACCCACCTTGCTCACGTGCAGCTGCTGCTGCTGGAACTGCTGCTTGTGCTTCTCCAGGAACTGCTGGTGCTGCTGCTGGATGACCAGGTGCTGCAGGGCCTGCGCGTTCTGGGGCAGCGGCGCCGACTGCGTGCGGCCCAGCGGGCGGTGCTGCCGCAGCTTGTGCACCGACGGGGACACCCGGTCCGCGCCGACCAGGGGCTGGGCGTGGAGGGGCAGAGCGCCCAGGCCTGAAAGATACCAGTCTGGAGATAACACGGGGGAGAAACAGCAGAGGGGGAAGAGGGGCAAGAGAGGAGGAGAGAAGGGCTGCTCAGTAACTGAGGAGGTGACGACGGACCCCACCTGCTGGCACTGGGCCCTCCTGGAAGCGGAGGGCCCGGCCGGCTCAGCGAGGGCCCAAACGGCTCAGCGAGGGCCCGGCCGGCTCAGCGAGGGCCCAAATGGCTTAGCGAGGGTCCAAACGGCTCAGCGAGGGCCCGGCCGGCTCAGCGAGGGCCCAAACGGCTCAGCGAGGGCCCAAATGGCTTAGCGAGGGCCCAAACGGCTCAGCGAGGGCCCGGCCAGCTCAGCGAGGGCCCAAACGGCTCAGTGAGGGCCCAAACGGCTCAGCGAGGGTCCAAACGGCTCAGCGAGGGCCCGGCCAGCTCAGCGAGGGCCCGGCCGGCTCAGCGAGGGCCCAGCCGGCTCAGCGAGGGCCCAAATGGCTCAGCGAGGGTCCAAATGGCTCAGCGAGGGCCCGGCCGGCTCAGCGAGGGTCTAAACGGCTAAGCAAGGGCCCGGCCAGCTCAGCGAGGGCCTAAATGACTCAGTGACGGCCCCAACGGCTCCGCGAGGGCCCAGCCGGCTCAGTGAGGGCCTGGCTTCCAGGTCAATGGTCAGTGCCCAGGGGCCTGGCTTTAGGTTTCTAGCTCATAATTTGGAGGAACTGTCTGTTGAAAAGAGTCCCTGGGGGCACAAATGGTTAAGTGCTCAACTAGTCGCTGAAAGGCTGGTGACTGGAACTCACCCAGAGATGCCCAGGAAGAAAGGTCTGGCCATCTACTTCTGAAAGGTCACAGCCTTGCCAACATGGAACAGTTCTACTCTGCACACATGGGGTCACAATGAGTTGGAACCAACTGATCAGTAACTGGGTTTTGTTTTTTTTTTTTTTTTTTTTTTAAGTTTATTGAAAATCAGGCCCATCCACCAAGCGTTGGGAGGCTGGTGTGATTGGTCTCAAAGAGCAAGCCTGCCCTTCCCAAGAGGGGCCACGGCTGAGAAAGGCTCCTTCTCATCTGAACAGCATGCAGGTGGTGTGAATGGGCAGCACACCACGCTGGGGAAGCCAGGATTTGCCAGGAGACTGCCCGAGTGGCTATGCCCTCACGCTCACAGGAGCTAAGTTCTGGGGGAGAAAAAAAAGATCCTTCGGGTCTCAACTGTTCTCAGAGTTTCTTTAAAGCAGGAGCTTATGCACAAAGAAGGTATTAACACTTTGAAGCGTTCTGCACGTATCATTGCCAGGACTGCTTTCTAGAAAGGTCTGAGCACCTTAATTCCTCCAGCTGCATATGAGGAGGCCTGCTTCACCATGCCCCTCTTTGCCCTGAACTTTTAAATTAAAAATTCTTTATCGATAGGAGACAGGCTTCTTTGAATGTGAATCTTGTTTTAAAATGCACGCCTATTCTATGAGCGACTTCCTGCGAACGAAGGAGTTTAATTGCCCCTTCTTTATGCTTTTCACTTGCCTGCAGCTCTGCTTTCGCAAACTGTCGGCATAGGTGATTTACCATTTTCACATGGTTCTGTGAGCAAAAGGGTCCAGCAAAGCCCTCTCCCCCGCTACAGGAGGACTGTGCTCCTGGCAACCTGTGACGGCAGACACGAGGCAACACTGCGTTGTGGTCTCCTCACACCCGAGTGGACCCTGCGGGCCTCTCGTCCTGATGCAGGGGTGGCCCAGGGCAGTTGTATCCACTCGAGCCTAAGAAGACGCAGAGTCATGGGAGAAGGGGGGAACCTCGTTAAAGTCCTATAAAAAGGCAGCCTTCCCCCAACCCAATCCCAGAACCACCTGACCTGGACAGGGAGCAGGCGAGCGGTGGCAGACACATCTCGGATGGAGAAGTGCAAGGAGAGGGACCCGGGAACAGTGAAGCGGACTAGGTGTCTTTTATGTGTTAACAGTGACGCTAGCCAGGAATTGAAACCTCCTTTACGACCTGGACTCCTGAGCAGCTAACAGGCTCTGATGCATGTTCAGACCAAGGGCCCTCTGAAGCCCAGGGTGAAGTGCTGCGTGGGGTTCGTGCTCCCTGGTGATGCCGTGGGGCAGGGGTGCCGATCCAGGGGAGGGGACTCACTGGCCAGCAAAAGGATGCAGGTAGGAAACCCAGCCCGGCTCAGCGAGGGCTCGGTGACACACTGCCGTCCAGGCTGGGTGACGGGGTGGTCTCCTCTTCTAAACAGCCGCCCCGGGAGGCAGGGGACGGTGCACCCAGGCTCTGCTCAGTGCAGTGACGCTGCGAACCGAGCGCTCTAAGGACAAACAAAACCCTAAACCCCCCATCCTCAACACCAGACCAGGCCTAAACCCCAACTTACCCCAGAACGCAAAACACGAAAGCAAAACCCATTGCTGTTGAGTTGATTCCAAGCCCTAGTGACCTTCTAGCACAGAGCAGAACTGCCCCACTGTTTCCAAGGCTGTAATCTCTACAGAAGCAGACGGCCACATCTTTCTCCTGCAGAGCGGCTGGTGGGTTTGAAATGCTTATCATTCGGTCAGCAGCTGAGCACTTAGCCTCTGTGCCACCAGGGCTCTATACTCACCCCAAACCCCGATTTGGAGTTTTAAGCTATGTGAAAGGCACGCGCTCTAACGGGCGAGGGTTGTACGTGGGAGCTCAGAGTAGAACGAGGCTCTCCTCCCTGCCTCCTCTGAAAGCTAGCTCGGGGACAGCCACGCAGCGAGGTCCTGCAGGAAGCCGAGGCGGGACCAGGGCTTCCGCTGCGGCCGGCTGCTCCGCACGCACCTGCAACCAAGGGCGTCTGCGGCGGCGGCTGCTCCAGTAAGACCAGGTGCTGCAGAAGAGGGTTGTGCGCAGCCCCGCCATCCCGCTCCAGGGGCGCGGTGCTCAGGTAGGGGGCGAGATGGGTGCCAGGGAAGAGGGGGATCCGCTGCTGGAGAGCTGGGAGAGCTAGGCGCTCAGCATCCTGCTGGCTGGCCGCCCCCTGGAACAAAACGAGAGACAGTCAGGGGTGGGGAGACTGTGATGGCCGCCCCCTGGAATGAACAATGAGAGACAGTCGAGGGGAGGGGACTGTGATGGCTGCTCCCTGGAATGTACGAGAGACGGGGGGGCGGGGACTGTGATGGCCGCCCTCTGGAACGTACAAGAGATGGTCAGGG